CTCTTTGACAGAATAGCATATATTGATCTTCAGTTTAAGAACAAAACCAAACTAAGAATCTTTCAAATTTATCTTCCTGCGAACTATAGCGATAATACATAAATCACCCTTAGAAAACAAATAGAAGCCAAATTAACGGAGCTTATATTAAATGCACAAAGAAAGTCTTTTCACATAATCATTATGGGTGATTTTAATGTAGATATTTATAATACTTCCGGTCATATAACTAAGCAATATAAAGAAAAACACCACTTTATCAATAAACTTTTCAACCTCAATTTCTTTTTAGCAAACACTTTAAATTATACATTCTTTACCTCACATCCCTACACATACATTAACCTGATATTTAATAAAACCTCGCATTTAGACTGTATTTTTACGTCATCAGCCCTCACTTACGATTTGACAGCATACAAAATTTTAGACAAATCACATATCATTTACGAATCTGACCACCTGCCAATTTTGATTTTAATTTATAAAGAAAACCTATTCCACAACTCATCAAGTGCCTATTGTAAATAACACAAAACTACAAAAAAAATATTTAATTACAACAAAACTGCAAACTTATATTGGGACTTTTTTTCAGACAAGATGAATAAATTTATTAAAGATTTCTCTACTTATAAAGACTGTGAGCCCACAGATATCAGTCAAAACATAAATACGTTAAACAAAGCATGGGATTTCTTTGCATATGCTATCACTACAGTGGCAAACAAACATATACCCAAATCCACGACAACAATCGATCACAAATCTTATATATTCATGATAATTCTAAAATGCACTGACAATCAAAAATTTTATACAAATTATTTTACAAATGCAAACTAATTTTAAATAATTCAAACAAACAAAATTTGCATGCTAATTCTTTATCTATTGATAATTTGCATTCAAAAGTTCTCAAAATCTTAGCTGAGAATTTGATCTCATCAATACATTTGAACTCTTTATATTATCAAAAAAATATTAAAGATTACTTAGTAGAACTCAAACAATCCATTATCAAACCCTTCGAAAGCAAACTAAAGATATTCTCATGAAATGAAAATAATAAAAGAATCAAAGAATTTGTATTTCAAAGAGCTATTAATTATACAGATACTTCAGCAAAGATGATTGATTCATGTCTTGAAAGAACTAGAAAAATTATTGTTCTTGATTGAGTGTTAATAGACACAAATACAAATGATTCCTATTTAGAATTGGATCCTAACAAAATTAAATCTGCCACTATGAACCATTTTAAATACGTGGTTGGATCTTCTAATTTTCACCTCAATGATTTAATCGCATCTGGTCACTCTGATGCATGGAAATTTTGGAAAGATAATTACAGACCTTTAGAATCTATTGATGATAATTTATACAACACCATCTTGGATCCTCCAACATATAACGAATGGTTACTGATCATAAATCACCTCCCAGATAGCAAAGCGTCTGGTTCATCTAATATTTCTAACGAATTTCTAAATAATTTAGGTTTGCGAGGTAACAAATTTCTTTTTAAAATAGTTTTATAACAGGTCTAACACCAGCACAATGGAACCTAGCACACGTTTATCCAATTCCAAAGCCCAAACCTTAGAACTGTGATTTAAATAATATCAGATCTATCACTTTATTAGAAACAATTAGTTAGGCTTTTACAAAGATTCTCAATAACCGTATGCAACAAATTCTATTCAGTCGAATGCACTATCTGGTTTAAATTTCGCCAGTCTGTCACATCAGTCAACAAATGAATCTTTGAATATCGTTAATAATTTGCTTGAATACCATCGTTTGAGAAAGAAAAGTGATGCAACATACGACCAGGAATTATACAACCTTTTCCAAGACATGTCCAAAACCTTTGATAGGGTCAATATTTTTATACTACAAAACGTCATGGCTAGACTAAAGTTCCCATTAAAATTAATAAATTTGATAGCAGGCTTATTTCTAAATAGAAAAAACCAAGTTTTCACAAGTTTTAGTAACACAAACTTCTATGATGTCCAGGTCAGGATAAATCAGGGTGAAGTTATTTTCCTGATTCTTTGGGTTATTTATTATGATCCGCTTTTTCAAAAAATAAAGGATGCTGAACTAGGTTTTAAAATGGAATCTACCTGAAACCCTGATATCAATAAATCCTACCAATGTTCTCTACAAGTCACTATTTCAGCAGTAGCATATATGGATGATACCATCTGAACAGTGACCAAATGAATAGTATTCTTAATATTGCTCAGTTCTTCTACAATCTAAACTCAATGAAAGTTAATTTTGACAAATTCTGTATCATAATGGACAATAATAGCAATATACCTATTACTTTTCATAACAATTCAGATAATTCTATATTTACATGCCTAGTCATTCCTGACTATGAGTCAATGTGTTATCTTAGAGTCTGGATCTCGACAAAATACAACAAAAACTTTATTAAAAATCAACTCTTAAGCGAAATATCATCGTTTATTGACAAAATTAAATTTAAACTGCTTACAGATAACAATTACAGTATCTAAATAATATAGTCTTGATACCTAAATTAGAATATAGATCCAAGTTGATAGTCCTATCAAAAAACGAATGTAAAGTATTATTTAGACCAATGCATATAATTCTAAAGAAAAAACTTAAACTTAGAAAAGACTTTTCCAATGCTATTTTACACAATAAACTTGCATATAGATTCAATGACCTCTCAGCTAATGCTAGGCATGCTAAATCTTAACAATTTATTAATATCATCAACTCTTCATCAGATGTGTCTATTCTGAGAAGAACTGTTTTGATTAGATTAAACAAATTCAACTACAATTTTGGTTATTTGACAACCTATTATATATTGGCTGTCTTTCGCTCAACATACTCATCATAACAATTTCTTATCAAATATGCTTACAGAATATTTCCACTCAGACTTTAGTTTCCATAATAGTACATATATGAATCATATCTTCAAAATTGAAGGAGAAGAGCTTCCACTTCAAAATATTATTCCTTAGAACTATAGAACTATTAAGTCTTTAATTAAAACTCAGGTTCTTTTTTTGTCACAAATTACAGCATCAGGAAATTTTCTGTTTGATTTTCATGATATTATCTTGAAAACTTTCAATGCTAAGCAAAGGGAGGGTTTCATGTCTACCTGGTTCAAAGTATTAAAGAATACTGTTCTAACTAATTAGGTCAACTCGATGTGACTTAAACCAGATTTTTGTACTGATACGACTAATATATATAGTTACGATTACACAAAATTAATTTATTTCCCAAAAGACACAGGATGGGCAACAATGTGGACTCCTAAGGAACACAACATTTATAATCTTCCTATTCCTAGTGCACTAATATTTGTCAAATTCTATAAAATCAAAACTTTAGCTCCTCCGTGTTTATTTTAACATTTTGAACTTACAAATAACACTTTTGATCCACATTTACCATCTAAATACACTTTCGTATTAGTTCTGTATACAGGATGTTCCTTTAACCAAAATAAACAATACTATAATATCAAGCTGAAATACAAATCAATTTCATGTAGCTTTTGTGGATCCCCTGCTTCCTTATCCTATCACAACCTCATTATTACCTTAGAGTGTTAATAGACTTCACGTACTAAAATGATCTATTTGACCTCTTATGAATCAAGCTATTGCATGTTTCAAAAAATTAAATAATACTGATGTTCCTTATGTATATAATGACGCTCTCAAACTAGATCTAAATAACATCACAATTGAAAAACTTTTTATTGATATTGACTGTATTAACACTTTGAATAGTTTTAGACATAGGTTATTTGCTGAAACAAATTTAGAATTCTACACAAATGGTTCTCACCTTTTTATTGATACCTCAGTTTCGTCTTTTATTAGTTCTACTTTTTTATTAGTTCATGATAATATAGATATTAGTTACGCTGCTGCTTTAACTCCTATTTAGGCTAATTCCACTAACGCTAAAATCTTTGCTTTCTTGCTAACACTGCTTATTTGTCCTTTTAATTCAAATATTAAAATTAATAGATAGCTTAAATCTTATACACAACTATAACAGATTAGTACATTCAAAAGCTTCTAGATATCCTTCTATTCTCCACAAAACTCCTTTTTACCTCTTTTGATGTTTTATACTTAGAATTATAGAACAAAACCAAATTTCTCTCAGTTAAATCACACTCAGGGAATTCTTATAATGATAATGTTGACTGCCTTGCAAAATGAGTGATACAGAAAGGAGTGGAGTCAGGTGGAGGTGATGAGTATAGTATGTCATGTGAATTGATATACTCAAGTGTATAACCTGTAAATTTAACTACTGTGTATATTTAACATGTGTATCATGTGTAATACAACAATTAAATCAAAATTGATCAGTCTGATAATCAAATTATTCCATTTTTTTTATCTACTATTCTCTCACGCGCTTACACCAAACCTTATTTCTTATCTACTTACGATAATTTGATACCTGATTTGCAAAAATAATAAAGAAAATCGTGTTTACCAAAACAAAAATCTGCAGAAAAAAATCTCGCATTAAAATACTATTTATCAAAACTTATCAGTCATTATGAACAATTTTGTTAATGAAGAGGATATCATTTATGAAGAGGATTTTAATAAAGAGGTAACACTTTTTATGTAATGATTAATAAAGTAAAACTATTAATAAATATTAAATACTTAATATATTATAGATGTGTTATATTGAACTGGAAGAAGATATAGAAATATATCTTACAAAACATATGACTGTTAAAACAATTATTCACTTATTAATTCTAATGGAATATCTACCAACAAGTGAGGAAGGTGTTGCAATAATTTATCATGTCGAAGGATGAGAAAATAAAGAAGCAGCATTTAATGATATAAATATAAATATAATTTTTAAAATAATACATTTTATTAATAATAATAATTTACTTATTTTTTTTTTATGTTGCGGATTAACTTAATTATTTAAAGATTCAATATTCTATGGGTAAACCTGATAGTCAGAATAATGCAACTTGTCCTTATCTTGGTAATATTGCTATAAATAAAAAAGATAGAACTTGTCAAAGGCTAAAAATATGTGAATTTGCAAGTTCAGAACTTCAAGAAATGAATCATGTATCAGTAGATCCAGATTCTGATTTACGTCTAAAAATGAATAAAGATCTATCAACTCATAATGTAGAAAATAATACATTTGCGTAAGTATTACTTGTGTAGCTTAAATATTTATAGTAATGATTATTTTATTTAATTTATTTTATTTAGTGTATATTTAGCAGTATATAAAACTAAATGTCGATATATGCAGAATGGAATGCAATGTACTGGAAAACCTGTGTTAAAATGTTTTCAACAATATAATAAAACAGCATTACCATCTTATTTTATTGGTTATTTTGAATGGAAAATAAATGAAAAGTTTCACCAGTTTATTAGTATTAAGGAAAATGTAGATCTTAACCTACTTCGTCAACTTTTGGATGGATTATACGAGGTTGTATTTTTAATTTTAAATTTTGTTTTGCTAAGTTAATTATTTTATTAAATATTTTATTTAAGGTAATTCAGATGAACCAGTAAATAACTGTTCTATAGTATTGCATAATAATTCAAAAAAAATTATATGTCGTAAGTTTTAAAATGAATATTAATTTAATATTAAATAAAAATAATTTATTTATAATTTTATTTATTTTAGCATATTCACATCATGCAGAAAATATTATTAAATAAGGATCTATAATTTGAAAACAATGTGAAGTTAAATATTACAAAATAATTCCATTAGATATAGAAAAATGCCCATATATGATTCTTGTATCTAAAGGCATCCATTCTCACCCATCACCTTCACCTAACTGTATGCCAATTACTATTCGTGCTCGGTTACAAGAATTAATTTATCAAGCAAATAATGATACTATAGATGTTATACCAACTCGTATTATATCAGGTAACTTTAATATTAAATTTTATCAGAAAATTTAATTATTTTAAACATAATTTAATTTAATTATAAATGCTTTTTATTTATTAGGAAATCTTATTAAAACATATTTTGGCACTGAGTATCTTGCTGACATTCATGCTTCATTAAATAATGCTGATCGTCTTCAATACTATGTTGATAAAATCCAAAAAGAAATTCATCCCCAGGGTTATGGAATCTTGGAGTTGTTTACAATTATGCATGAAATATTAATAATTTTTGTGAATATGTAAAGCGTTTAGGTAAGATAAATTAAAGTATTAATTTAAAATATCATTATTAAAGTTATTAATTAATAATTATTATATTTTATATTCATTAGAATTTTTTGAAGATAATCATATAATGATTATTTGTACTACTTTTGAACAATTTTTTGAATAGGTAAAAGTTAAACACTTCTAAATAGATCTTTCATTTAAATGCGTAGCATGTGAAATAAACGAATTTGAAGTTAATTATTATAATTTACAGTATAATTTAAGTAAGTTAATTTGATTAAATACAATTTTTATAAAAAAATTATATATTAATTTAAATTTTTTATATTTTATTTTTAATAATTTTAGTCCTTACATTTGCTCGGGTCTTTACTAATTGTGCAACAACTATTGCATATCAAAGAATTTTTCATGCATTATTTGATCTTTTATTTCAATTAACAGGTTCATTTCCTCAATTTAAACATATTCATAAAACTGGATGGATTGTATAATTGCGGATTTAGATTATGCACAAGCAAAAGGTTTGGGATTAGTATTGAATGAAATAGATGTAACAAAAGACTGGGAAGAGCATTTAGTTCATATTTTCAAATCATGTCATGTACATTATAAGAGGTAAGAGTAGGATTTTAATTTGCTTTATTTAATTATTATTACTATTAATATATTTAACAATTATGTTGTATGATATTTATTATACAGAAAAATTCGAGAAAAACATTATGTATGATAATAGTGTAAAAAATGACATGTATGCACTTCTTACAGTTGTATCAGAAGATGCAATTAATAGATTATTTGATAATATTCAAATGATTGAAAGTGTCGCAGGTTAGTAAAAAAATATAATTTTTTTATAATACTAATTTAAAATTTTTATAAAAATACTTATTACTTTTTTATTAGATTGGGTTATATTTTATAGACAGCGATGGGTCATTGCATCATTAAATAAATGTATGTCAAAAATTGACAGTGAAATGTGGATGATTTCACCTAATAATACCAATGTTACAGAAGCAGCACATACATTAAGTAATCATTATGGAAAGGGTCTTAAATTGGTAACTGCTATTATTCAGTATATATTAATATAAATATATTTATATTATAATGGATTTTATTTGGTTTAAAAAATTATTATTAATATTTATTGTTTATTATTATAGAGGGCGAAAATTAGATAAAGAATGATTTACAGCTATTTATAATTATCAAAAATATAATATGCCTAATCGTGAACGTGATAAAAGTCCTATCGCATGAAATGTATAATCAAATAAACGTAAAGGTAATATTATAATACACTAAATATATTTAAATTAATTAATATTAAATTCTAATTACATTATTTGATTTATTTATGCATTAGCTCTTATCGTTATACAAATTAAGAAATCAAAGTCAATGCCTGTAAAGCATAAACAAAATATGCATTCCGGTAATAAGAAAAGAAGTAGAAAAACTATTGTAATTGATTCTGATACTGAGGTTGAAAATGAAGATGATGGTAAAGAGAATAAGTTGACCTCAAGATTTAATGAACTTGAATATCGGGAGAAGGATTTAGCTCTTAAAGAGCGTGAACTTGTTTTAAGGGAACGCGAAGCTAAAATTTATGTAATAGAATTAATTAATCTTGAAAAAGATTATCAATTGAAATTAACTAATACTAATTAGGCAATAATTTTAATTAAGTTAATTACGAAAAGTTTAAGAAATATAATAAAATTGATCATTTATTTCTAATGAAATACTTAATTAAATAATATTGCAACTCAACTTTAATTATAATAAGGCAGTTGAGTATAAATATATATAAATATGAAGCATATACCACTTCTTTCGAATGCTAATATACATACAGATGAGTATAGTAAATTTTTTGAATTATACTCAATAGCTTTTCACATGACATACTATACTCATCACCTCCACCTGACTCCACTCCTTTTTGTAACACCTTTGCAAAATCTGCACTAACGTAATCTCCTATATCACTCTTACTCAACCATATTCTATACATTCCATTTATTCCTACATTCAGCCAAATACCTATCAACAAGGAAATTAGACCTTTCTTTAAAGATTACACCAACACGAACATCATCACTGATTTTCTCAGTTTAAAGAAAAACTCTAAATATTCTAAACTTTCTATTAATTGGCTCTGCACCTTCCAACTTATTAATTATAAACTCTTGAATCAAACATCTTTAAATAATCATATTGTCACAAGAGGAAATACCAGCTCCTTTTGGAACTACTTCCTTCAATTAAAAGTCTAAAAATTTCAAGACCTGACTTATATGATAAAAATTGGACCTGCTGTAAATGTCTTACTGAAAAAGAAACTTTCGACCACATTTGGCTTTGTTCAAGAAATCACTGAATACTCAATCAAATAGTGCTCAGTGCCTTTGTCAAATTGAAAGAATAACTTTTTATTCACACATCCAAAAAAGTGTGGTTTAACAAATTAATCGAATTAATGAATCCAACTTTTGATTACTAGATTCTAATCCTTAAATCTCCTCTAAAATTCAACATAGTAGATATGATCAAAGGAATCGTTCCTAGCCATTTATTTTTTCTGCATCAATAATATTATAAACTGTAACAAAAAAACCATGACTATCCTATCTGTTTTTTTCAAACATATACAAACTCATGCAATTACGTTAATATGGATTCCTAGATGTAATTTGACTATTACCACAGAACTGCAACTTGATATAACAAAAAAGAAAAAACTTTACATTAAAGCTCCTAAAAAAAGTAACTCCGTAACATCATCACTTCTCCTTACTTCCTCTAATACATCCTCCTCAATTTCTAAATATACTAACTTATTTTATGATTCTTATATCTATGGTTGATCTTGGCCTCTTTTTAAAGCAGTGAAAACTAGTTGTCTTTTTAACTTCTCATTTGCCATGTAGTAACTTTTCTTCTCATAGCAGTTGTTTAGAAACATGACAGAACAACCAGTTGGTTTAATCAGAGTTGGTTACTCTTTCAAAGAAGACTAAGCAGCATTTACTTTATTATTCTACTTTTGTATCCGTCTTGGGAATTTTCTTTTATATATAATTAAATTTTGAAATTTAAATAAATAAATGCTTCACCGCGTCTTTAAAAAAAAAGTAATAAAATTGGTTTATATAATAGAAACTAGGGTTCCGCAATTCAATTTGATTTGATTCGATCAAATTCAAATCAAAGAATGATTTATTTGATCAAATCCAAATTAATGTTTGATTCAAT